GAAATGGCATTCCAAATTCACCAGCAGGTTGGCAAACTGGGGCCTGAGCTTGGACTCCTCTCCCAAAATACTCATTATAAGCCAAGGTAGCAAATATCCCCAGAGAAATATAGGCTTGGAAGGAAAATGGCATTAGAACGGCATAAGTGCTGTAAAACAAAAGACAGCAAACCATAACACATAGCAGAGATGAATTCATGGAACAAAGAGATTAGGAATTTAAGGTAAGCATAAAATCACGTATTGGTTACACGATGCAGAAACGAGAATTTTAAAGAATCAGTGAAGAACCATGACAGGCAGCATGGATAGAGGAGAAAACTACCTTAGAGAATTGGAAGACCAAAGAAAACAACCATCCCAGAAGGATTCAGGAATGGAGTCACAGATGGAATATATGAAGGATATGAATACATGAAAAGATATAAGAATAGTGCTACCATCTGTATAATAATGTAATAGGAGTCCCAGAGTAAGAAAACAAAGTAAACAGAAGGAAGTAAATATTTGAAAAATTAATGACTGAAATGAAAGATGAAACACTTCAGTTTGTAAAGGCTCAGAGTGCCAAGGACCTTACAGAAGAGAGAGGGTAAAGAAAATCCAAAATCCAGACATCAATGAGAAAAAACTGAAGCACTTCAAAGTTTGAGATTAAATGAGTAAAGCTTTCAGAAAGAAAGCATCTCAACTATAAAGAACGACGCTGAGATTGTTACCAGTCTTCCCAGTATTTACACTAGAGACAATGGAAGAATATTTTTAAAGTGTTTCAGGAAGATAACATTAAATGTAGAATTTCATGTCCAGTAATCTATCATTTAAATATGAGAAGACAATAAGGATATTCTTTGTATGCAAAGCCTCGGAAGATTTACCACACAAAGACCTCCTGCAAAAACACCCTTAGAAAAAGGACTGTAACAAAAAGAAAAAAAAAAAACAAAACCAGATACATGGAAGTTAAGATGAGCAAATAATTCAGTAAAATTTATTTTATCTAAAAAAAGCAAAGGCAGAAAAAGTGAATGAACATACATAATAATCCAGAAGTAAAACTGGATGATAATAAATGACATTTCTTCAGGGAAGAGGGGGCTGGAAGCTGCAGTCAGAGAGAAGTGAGACTTCATTTGACAGATGAGGAAACTGAGGCACAGAGAGGTTAGGGAATCTGAACAAGAGGCAGCACCAAGATTCAAACTCAGGCAGTCTGACTCAGAGTTCATAGCCTTCAGGGGAAACTGTTCCACCTCAGATCATCAGGCACTAGATTCTCATAAGGCGTATACAACCTAGATTCCTCGCATTGTGCTATGAGAATCTAACGCCACTGCTGATCAGAGAGAAGGCAAGGCTCAGGCGGTAATGCTCACTCACCCGCCACTCACCTCCTGCTGTGCAACCCAGCTTCTAACAGGTTGCGACCTGTACAGGTCTGTGGCTCATGGGTTGGGAACCCTTGAGATAGACAACAAATAAACAAAGTAATAGAACAAGTCAGCAAATTCTAGCTTCCAAGCTGGCTACCTATATTTATAAATAAAGTTTTATTGGAAGACAACTATGCCCATTCATTTACGTATTTTCTATGGCTGCTTTTTCATTACAGCAGCAGAGTTGAGTAGTTATCACAGAGACTATACGGTCTGAAAAACCCAAAATACTACCTGTCCTTTAAGGAAAGCTTGCCAGCACTTGCTACAGAAGACGTAAACAATAAAATTAACCAGCTCAACCATTTTATACCTAGAGAGCATTTTACACCTGGAGAGTCTACATATCTTCCAAAAAGTGCATCAGATTAACTCCTGTAAAGCTCTAATTCCACCCTCACTGCACGAATACCACAGCTGTCCAAAATATAACCCTAGCCACAATATTAGAGAATAAGACAAACATTAAGGACCAAAGAAGATGAAAAGCTATATCTTAAGAAAGTGCTTTTGCGTGTGACAGTTACATACACAGATCTTCGATGCTAATTTAAATGAATGTAGATGTCTAAGTAAAATATCTCCATGCAACTGTGAACATTTGTCGACAAGTTTTTAATAAGCACTTGCTGCACATCTCTTAAAAGAGAAAGAGTGACATATAGCAGGTAAGAGTTTGGGCTTAGAGGCCAAACAGCAAAAGTCTTATTTTCTTTTCTGCCCATTAACAGTGTGTATCTTTGGAGGAAGTCACCTAACTACAGTTTGCCCCAATTTCCTGATCTGTAAAATAAGGCAAATAATAATATCCACCTGATCACAGAGTTACTGGGAGTAATAAGTAAGATAACGTAAATGAAAACAGAGTTTAGCATACTTCCTATGTGTTTTCACATAGGAAGTCTTCAACAGACACTACTGAATTACATATCTATTGGGGATACTATAAATAATTGGAAACCACCATGACTCCAGAAACAATGGTGCTACGAGATTATTTTCTTTTGTGATCTTTTTCCTGTTCTAGCTGCTGAACCAGTCAGTTCAGTTTACTGCTATCCACTATTTTCTCACTAGAGGAGAATATCTATGTATAGAAATAAATGTTGTTGGGGAGGGGACAGAGGAAAGAGCCTGGTATCTGTAATAAGGAGAGAATAGAGTTCAACATGTAAAGAAATCCAAATTTAGGAGGCTATCTTTTATTTAGTTCTTTGAATGCCTCCTAATAATGACTATCATAAATGATAGTTGAGGTAGAAATGTTTTTATGATCAGTACCATAGAAAGCAAGGTGTTAGCACGAAGGACCTCTATGGTAGGAAATCAATTTTTAAAATAGAAGTGTAAGGAATATTTTCTCTTAACTCTAACCATGATGGTGTAGGTCAAAAAGCTATATCTCATTCTGAGTATGGATGAAAAGATATAAAAATAGGATTGCCAGACTTCAAACGTGTCAAAAGACAAAATTACAACAAATTTAGTTTAACGATCTAAATTGGCTTTTATTCATGATTCTAGAATTGGGCAACACCTCATTCTGTAAGATAGGATGAGTGTTCCAATGAGCTGAGCAGAGGAGGTTGGCTTTACAGATAGAAAAGGGCTGAAAAAAGCAGAAACAGAACAGAAATAGATTGGTCATTTCAAAGTTACTTTCCTTGTGAAGGTTAAAGCAGAAGGGACTTCCTTATCATGCCGACTAAAACTGGCCTGCTTGGGGATTTGGCTATTATCGCGCTCTCTCTCTATTTCTGGGAAGGTCAGATAAACAACTTAGTTTCGGCTTGGTGGTGTGGAGCTTCAGCGTGAGTGACTCCACTTGGGTTTGGCCTGTCAGACCTAATGCAGGATCTCAGTCCAAACCAAAGTCCTCCTCTAAATTTTGTTTAGCGTAAGTAGCAAAGTTTCACCAAAATTTAGGAGACTCCTTTTTTAAAAAATCATACCGGCATCAGAAATAAAAGCAGGGGAAGAAAAATTGGCAAAGCTCATGACTCAAAGATCTGGTTCAAGAGCAGAACTAGGGTCCAGAATATGTAATTAATGATGTCAGTGGGGAAAGTTTACTTTACAGGTCTCTGGACACACTTTTTAATTTGAACATTCAAACTCCAAGAACCATAAGCTCTGTAACAAAGGAAGCCTAGAGGGGAAGAATAAAATACATTCCTCATTAATATAGTTTGGATATGTGTCCTCGCCCAAATCTCATGTTGAAATGTAATCCCCAGTGTTGGAGGTGGGGCCTGGTGGAAGCTGATTGGATCATGGGGGTGGTTTCTCATGAAGGTTTAGAGTGTGTACAAGTGAGTTCTCACTCAGTTCATGCAAGATCTGGTCATTTAAAAGTGTGTGCAACCCCCTCTCCCCCGCAACTCCATCACTCTCTTGCTCCTGCTCTGGCCATGTGACATGCCTGCTTCCCCTTTGCCTTCCACCATGATTGTAAGTTCCCTGAGGCCTCCCCAGAAGCTGAGCAGATGCCAGCACCAAGCTTCCTGTACAGCCTACAGAACCACAAACAAATTAAACCCCTTTTCTTTATAAATTGTCCAGTCTCAGGTATTTCTTTATAGCAATGCAAGAATGGCCTAATACACTCATCTTAGGTGAAGTTTCTTAAAAGGTTCAGAATCTTTATTGTGAGGAATTTCTAATCAGGAGTCATTTCTATAAATAGGACTGTTTGACTCAAGGCTGACATTGTGCCTCATGGTCTTCATGGCATATGGAACTCTATGTATATGTTAGATGTGTTCATCCTAAACCTTTAATCTGTTATTTTACTTAAGGCTTTTTTTTCTCTCTTGTGCTTGTAAGTCCTCATAGAACAACTTGTTCTATTAACTCATCAAGCCTACTCAATAATTACTACAACTAGTCATTTCAATTCACACAATGATTTAGAAGTATTCCCAAAGTAAACTGAGAAAAATTAATAGCTTGACTTATATCATTTTTCTGTGAAATGTTACACTAGTTATATTAAATCCTGTATTTTAATAAATTATACTACCAATTCCAACAAAAGTAATTAGAACCCCTACATTTTAACATTCCATCTACTAATTTACATTTTCCAAAGATGTATAGGAAAAAGATATTCTTTGAATTCTAAATATTATTATTGAATTGGGCCTAACACAAAAAACATATAGCTGTGTTCATTTTCAAAATCACAGAAGCAGCACCAAGCAACTTGAAATTTGATGAAGATTTCCTTCTGACATTTATTTACTGAACTGTGTGAACAGTAAAAAAAAATACATTACAAAATTTAATTTCTGTAGGCAATGCTAGCGCTAATGCAATCAAATGGAATAAACAGGAAGACGCTTATAAAAAACTGTTTCCAGTGGCAATTACTATTTTTGAAACTTGTTCTTCAGATTGTATCTTATCAAAGTTCTGTTTACACCTTATCTAGGATATGAGATTGGATGATTTGCCTCTGTCAGATGTTGAAGCCTGAGTAAAATAAACAGTTTTCATTTTGTATCATAAAACTTCAGACCACAAGGCCATCATAAAAACTCAGGGATGAAAACAGAACACAGAGAAGGTTAAACAGAACATTTTTTATTCTCTTCTCTCTTCGTAACAACAAATTGGGCTGAAAACACATAGCCATGAAACACCAACTGTCCTTAGACAATTTCCCCTGAAGGCCCTCACCTCTAGAGACTGTTTGTTCTGCATAAGTTTTTTAAATAAGTAATATCATATGATTACCAGGTGCCCTAAAGAAGACGTGGGGACCCCCATATACTGCTGTGATTTGGCTGAAGGTGAATCTGTGTCCGCCGTCATGGTTATTTTGGGAAAAGAATAACCTTCTTTTTGGTTTTTGGTGTTTGTTCTATTCCTCATCCCCCAAGTACATTTTGAAAACACTTTTTTATAAAAAGAAGCCATAGGGGAGCTAGTAAAGCATTTACCCCAGTGGGCTCCTCATAAGAACCTTTATATTAAGATGACAATAATTAAATATCAATAATATTCAAGCCCAGGACTATGGAGGCCTTGGCATTTCTTTAAATAATTAGCTTTTTACCATTGTCTCAGGGTAATTGTTAAAAACCTCTTAAAATATTTTACACAGAAATCGATAACTTATGTATATGATTTTTATAAATATCGCAAGCAATTAATCGAGGTAAAATATTAGGAAAACTCTATGGAGAAACTAACTCTTACATCTGCTTCTTTCCCAACTGTTGGCATTCCTGGTTGTGGGGTTTTCCTGAGAATTCACAAAACTACTTTTAAATCTACCAAAGGAAAACAGAAAGCCAAGAGTAACAAGAGTGGCACCTGTCAGAGGTCGCAGGAATGCCCACTACTGGTTGTATCGTTTTCCTATTCCCAAAGAGCAACATGTTGCCATTGCAATGCCCTTTTAACTTCATGAGCGTGGGCCTCTTTAGGCTTGTTCACCACCATATTGCCAGTACCTAGAACAAACAAATTATTATTTGCAAAAAAAAAAAAAAAAACATTGTTTTTAATTCGTAAATGCAAACTGCAGAAGATCATACCAATGTTTAGTTTTCAAAAATTATGCACCATGAAATGTCTAATGAGAATATGAGGTAGATAGGTGGACTTATTATCTTAGCACAATCAAGGATCATAGTTTTTTCCCTTATCTGTGTTTAACAGATTTAAACTTTATTTGCCCTTTGCAGAACATATGGCTATATTATATTATGTATTCAGAAAATGAAACTAGTATTTAAGATTATATCATTTGATTCTTTATGTTTTTATCCCAGTATTTAAAGATGTGTCAAAAGTAAAATCTTGTGAGTAAGGGCTACCCTCTCCACCTGACTTAAAATTGTAAACCGTTCTCTTTCCTACATTTCTGATAACCCTTAGCCTCCTCAGATTTTATTTTGGTTTTTTATTTGTTTGTTTGTTGCATTTTCACCTTCTAACACACCACATGTCTTTATTTTCTTACCTCCCTTTACCCCCAATTAGAATATAAATGCCACAGGGATTTTTTAAGGACAGGAATATTTGTTTTGTTTACTGATGTTTTCTGTATGCTTAGCTAAAACAGTACCTGTCACAGAGTGGATGCTCACTAATTGTTCAATGCATGAATGTTATTTTTTAAAAAATTAGATATGTCCTTCTACCATACTTATATTAATAACTACAAATATAAAACTATAAATGCAAAACTGAGTAAGAATTATAATATATCCAACCTTGGTCTGTTTTTGATAATGGCCTCAGGGAATGTCTCATGAGAAATAGCACGGACTTTTGTAATAACTGTTATACCTTTGGGCAAATAGCTATAGAGCGTTGGCCAGGTTTTCTCAAAACCATTTCATCCCAGGGATGTATCTGCATTCAGTCTATGAGCTTGGTGCAGAATATTCTTTGTTTCAGATCAGAATGCTTTTGTAAGCAAGTAAAAATAGAAGGTTTGAGGGGATTAAACTATAACGACATTGATTGTTTACTTAACAAGAAAAGGTAGACATGCCCAGGGTTCGACCATGTTATTTAGGGTCCAGGCTCTGTCCAACTTTCTGCTTCCCATTCTTACCTTGTTTTGCTTTGTTTTGTTTTCTTTTTTTCTCTTTTTGCTTAGTAAAGTGCCTCATGGTTACAAGATGGCTGCCACTGCATAAGACTTCATAACTGCACTCAAGACAGAAAAGAAGCAGGTGATGCAACATTGGTTTTCCTGACATCTGTTCCTTTCAGAAGAAAAGCAAAAAGTTTTCCAGAAAATCCAGCAAAGTTTCATTGACCAGAACCAGGTAACATGACCATCCATGGGGATTAAAAACCCTAGGAAGCAAATATCTGGTAGAGAACACAATTGCCTGATAATGATTGTCTACCCTTGTGGAGATTTTTAAATTCTTAATGCCTAGGCCCCACCTCTGACCAATTAAATTAGATTCATGGAAGGAAAGTAGGAATCTGTATTTTTAAAAGCTATCTGGATGATTATATCATTCAGGCAGGCCAGACCACCCAAGAATCATTGCGAGGGATAGGCACATTGTCATCATGAGTGAAATCTGGGTTTTGTTAAAAACAGAAGTAAAGGGGAAGGGTTAAGAAAGCAAAAAACAGTGCCAGTCACACCTTCAATTTGTTATTATTACTGAGAGGTGAGGCCAGTTGGACTTCCTGGGTCGAGTGGGGACTTGGGGATCTTTCCTGTTTTACAAGAGGATTGTAAAACACACCAGTCAATGCTCTGTAAAATGTACCAATCAGCACTCTGTAAAATGTACCAATCAGAGCTCTGTAAAACGCACCAATCAGCACTCTGTAAAATGCACCAATTAGCAGGATTCTAAAAGTAGTCAATCGTGGGGAGGACTGAAAAAAGGGCACTCTGATAGGACAGAAACGGAACATGGGAGGGGACAATAAGGGAAAAAAAGCTGGCCACCCCAGTCAACAGTGGCAATCTGCGTGGGTCCCCTTCCACACTGTGGAAGCTTTGTCCTTTTGCTCTTCACAATAAACCTTGCTGCTGCTCACTCATTGGGTCTGTGCCATCTTTAAGAGCTGTAACACTCACTGCGAAGGTCCATGGCTCCATTCTTGAAGGCAGCAAGACCAAGAACCCACTGACAGGAGCCAACTCTGGATACATTACCACACCTCTACTTGAAAAGACTCATTCAGTTGTTCATGCTCACATTTTTTCAGTAGACACTTATTACAAACCTACTAAGTCATAGGCACGTGGGGAAAAAAAAGGGGCAAATTCCATAAGTTGGAATCTAATGTGGGGAGATAAATATGTGAAGAAAATCCATCAAAACCCAACATAACAGGGGCTTGGAGAAGGGATGAATGGAGAGTTATTTTTCAATGGGCATAGAGTTTCATTTTTGCAAGATGAAAACGTTCTATGTTGCGGAAAGTCAGGGACCCTGAATGGAGGGACCAGCTAAAGCCATGGCAGAAGAGCATAAATTGTAGAGATTTCATGGACATTTATTAGTTCCCCAAATTAATACTTTTATAATTTCTTATGCCTGTCTTTACTGCAATCTCTGAACATAAATTGTAAAGATTTCATGGACATTTATCACTTTTCCAATTAATACTTTTATAATTTCCTATGGCTGTCTTTAATCTCTTAATCTCATCATGTTCGTAAGCTGAGGATGTATATCACCTGAGGACCCTGTGATGATTGCGCTATCTGTACAAATTGTTTGTAAAACGTGTGTTTGAACAATATGAAATCTGGGCATCCTAAAAAAAGAACAGGATAACAGTGATTTTCAGGGAACAAGGGAGTTGACCATGAGGTCTGACTGCCTGCAGGGCCGGGCAGAATAGAGCCATATTTCTCTACTTGCAGAAAGCGAATAGGAGAAATATCACTGAATTCTTTTCCCAGCAAGGAATAACAGTGGGAAAGGAATGCATTCCCAGGGGGAGTTCTCTAAAATGGCCAATCTGGGAGTGTCTGTCTTATGTGGTTGAAGATAAGGGATGAAATACTCCCTGGTCTCCTGCAGCGCCCTCAGGCTTGCTAAGATTAGGAAATTCCAGCCTGGCAAACTCTAGTCAGACCAGTTGTCTGCTCTCGAAACCTGTTTCCTGTTAAGAGGTTTATCAATGAAAATGTGTGCCCAGCGGAACATGGAACCTCATCAGTAATTCTAATTTCACCCTGGCCTTGTGATCTTGCTCTGCCTCTCTGCCCTTGTGATCTTTTATTACCCTTTCAAGCATATGATCTTTGTGACTTACTCCCTGTTTGTATTCCTCTTGTATCCCCTTTTGAAATCCCTAATAAAAACTTGCTGGTTTTGCGGCTCAAGCAGCATCACGGAACCTGCCGACATGTGATGTCACCCCTGGAGGCCTAGCTGTAAAATTTCTTTGTACTCTTTCTCTTTATTTCTCAGACTGCCTGACACTACAGAACTGTACACTTAAAAACAGTTAAGACAGGCCAGGCATGGTGGCTCCTGCCCATAATCCCAGCACTTTGGGAGGCCAAGGCGGGCGGATCACCTGAGGTCAGGAGTTAGAAACCAGTCTAGCCAGCATGGTGAAACCCCGCCTTTACTAAAAAAAATTCAAAAATTAGCCTGGTGTGGTGGTGGGCACCTGTAATGCCAGCTACTCGGGAGGCTGAGGCAGGAGAATCACTTGAACCCAGGAGGGAGAGGTTGCACAAGCCAATATCACGCCACTGCACTCCAGCCTGGGCAAAGAGCAAGACTCTGTCTCTAAAACAAAACAAAACAAAACAAAACAAAGATTAAGATAAATTTCATGTAATGTATTTTTTACCTAATTTATAAAACAAAACAAAAAACTAATATGCTAGGTCCTAATCAAGGACTAAGACTAAAGAGCCTATGGGAGAACAGAGGATAGTTTTCATTTATTGAAATTTTGGAAGCAGATAATTGCCCAGCTTATCAGTAACTATCTTTGTTCTTTAATTTAACCTTTTACGACCTAATCTGGGGACACTTACCTTGCTTAGACTGTAATAAACAAATGGTAAACAAGCAGTTGCTTCACTCTGGAACACCCAGATGACACCTGCATGGGAATGAAATCAGCAGACCAGACAGCCAGAAAGAGACCTTGGAACTTAGAAGGTTTAAAAAAGCTTTGAGGGATTGAGCCCGAGCCTTTCTTCCCATCCTCTTTGTAAACAGGCTAACAAACCTATTCTTAAAATTGAATATATTTAAGGCTTTTCTTAGCCTTCATTTCAGCAAGCTAAACAATCTCACCTCCTTTAACCTTTCATGTAAGATTTATTTTCTTTAGTTATTTTTTTCCTTGAACTTCTCTAATTTCATATTCATGTTAAAAATGAAATTATTGGCTGGGTGTGGTGGCTCACACCTGTAATCCCAGCATTTTGGGAGGCCAAGGCAGGCGGATCATCTGAGGTCGGGAATTCAAGACCAGCCTGACCAACATGGAGAAACCCTGTCTCTACTAAAAATATAAAATTAGCTGGATGTGGTGGTGTATGACTGTAATCCCAGCTACTCAGGAGGCTGAGGCAGGAGAATCACTTGAACCCAGGAGGGGGAGATTGCGGTGAGCAGAGATTGTGCCATTGCCTGGGCAACAAGAGCAAAACTCCGTCTCAAAAAATAAATAAATAAATAAATAAATAAAATTATTATAATACATGTCAGAAAAAATATTATGTTAAATAACAGCTAACAAATGTGCAATTTGTGATCAGTTCGTGGTCCACCCTTAGTGTTTAGGGTTATAACAGCTAAATTGGGATTAATCTTGCGCCTCACCAGTCTTTCCCTTGCATTCGCCCCATCAGATTTATCTTATTATTGATATTTTTTTCTCAAGTTTTTGAATATCACTTTGACGGTGTTTGGGTAGAAGGCCAACTATAACTTGAAGAGGAAGAGCAAGAGATTTCCAAATCAAGTTATCATCTAGCACAGTTTTCAATAATGTACATAAAATTTTAAAATAAGATGTATTCCCAGCTTGAAATAGCAAATACATTCATGCATCACTTAATGAAGAGAATACGCTCTGATAAATGTGTCATTAGGCTATTTCATAGTTGTGCAAACATCATAGAGTATACTAACAAAAACCTAAGTAGTATAACCTACTACAGACTTAGGCTACATGGTATAGCCTATTGCTTCTAGGCTACAAACCTGTGTAGCATGTTATTATGCTGAATCCTTTAAGCAGTTGTAACACGATAGTGACTATTCATGTATCTGAACATGAAAAAAGTATAGTAAAAGTACTGTATTAAAAATGAAAAATGGTACCTGTATAGGGCACTTATCATGAATGGTGCTTGCAAAACTAGAAGTTGTTCTGGGTGAGTCAGTGAGTGAGTGGTGAGTAAGCGTGAAGGCCTAGGATATTACCGTACACTGCTATAGATTTTATAAACATTGTACACTTAGGATACCCTAAATTTATATAAAAAATTTTTTCAGTAATAAAGTAATCTTAGCATAACTTTTTTACTTTATCAACTTTTTAAATCTGTCTTACCTTTCAACCCTTTCATGATAACACTGAGCTTGAACACAAACACATTATACAGCTATACAAAAATATTGTGTTTATATCATTGTATCCTATAATCTATAAGTTTTTTCCATTTTAAACACTATTTATTTTAGTTTTTAAACTTTTTTGTTAAAATCTACGACACAATCACACACATCAGCCTAGACCTACACAGAGTCAGGATCATCAACGTCACTGTCTATCATCTCCTTACCTCATCCTACTGGGAGGTCTTCAGGGGCAATAACACACACGGAGCAGTCATCTTCTATGATAATCTCTTCTTCTAGAATACCAGCTAAAGGACCCATCTGAGGCTATTTTACAGTTAACTTTTTCTCTATAAGTAGAAGCAGTATAGTCTAAAATAATGATTAAAAAATACAGCATAATAAATACATAAACCAGTAACATAGTCATTTATTATCATTATCAAATATTATGCACTGTACATAATTGTATGGGCTATACTTCTTTATGACTCACAATGCAGTCTGTGTAGATTTGTTTATACCTGCATCATAATATCAAAGCACATGTTACTCATATGTTTGTTACAACATGTTGCAAACATATGAGTAACGTGTTGTGCTACGAAGTTATGACAGCTATGATGGCATTAGGCAATAGGGATTTTTCAGCTCCATAATGATCTCACAGTACCACCATCATATATGCAGTTGATTGTTGACCAAAATGTCTTTATGCAGTACATGACTCTACTTGACATAACTGGGCTATACATTTCAAACATACAGATGTCAAATATATCTCAGATTGTTTCGATTAACAATAATTTCCAATATTTGTCATAGACTTGTGTGTCTTAGGACTCTATTTACTAGATAATGCTCACTACCAAAGTCGTCTTCCAGGAAATCCATCTTTCCAAAACTGTAGCAGGTGTGCTCAGCCCACAGACAAGAAGCCTTGGGGTTTTGTAACAGCACTTCTCTCCTCCCCGTCCACACACTCTTTCACAACTTTAGGAAGTCGTTATTTAAAGAAGCTCACCACCACTGTTAAAAAGAAAGCTGCCAACTTGGAGTGTGTGTGCCCAGCGCAAAAACTTTGGAAAATCTACACTATAATCGGCATCTAATGTAGACAGCCAATACATCATTCGATGCAATCTATGTACAATGTCCAGATAATAGATTC